GGGAGGGAGGGAGGGAGGGAGGGGAGCGTCCAGCTCGTGTTTCGGGTAAAATGGGCCTGGTCAAGCCGCTGACGTTTGAAAATCCACTCACTGAAACCAGCGGGGAGTTGTGCTTAAAAATGAGTGTCAGTATATACCCCGCTATTATTAGTACCCTATAAAAGATTTAAAAGGGTTAAACCGCTGCAATTGGCTGGCAGTTGGCAGCGCTGCTTGTCATTCGGAAAGACAACTGCATTTCTGGAAAAGAAGCCAAAGCGTGATAGCAAACCAGAAGTAATACTCGGTAGTGACACAGTGGAAAAACATGTAGATATATATATATATTACTCGCACGTTTCTGAGGCCTAAGCAGAGCCCACACGATAAGCAAAAACCCAGCACCCTGTAACAACCCCTAGCCCGCGCGCAGCACGCGCCAGCAGGTCTCGCAGAGCTAACTGCAGCTAAAGAGTCAGCTAAATTACACATTTCCAGGATCCGTTAAACAACACAAAACTTGGTGATGTTAGTTTCTTGATTCCAGACCGCTGACGTAAGGAGCAGCCAACGCAGGGAGAACAGTCGGACTTCACTGTGACTGCAGGAGGGGGCAGGCGGCTGCAGCGTGTTCCCAGGGACTAACGCGGCCGTGCCCGACGGGACAGGGTCATCCTAAATGGGGACGGGTCGCTGCACGGCTCGCCTGGTGCAGTTAACTGCTGTTGTCAACTACCCGTTTTATGGCTGCAGCGTCACTAAATTACGAGTTTGTGTGGGTGCGCTGCCTCTCGATTGCTGAAGGCAACAAAATATTTTAAACCTGCTCCTCTTACAGTCTAGTGTAGAAGCGATGTGCCGGCACAAGTATCTGAAATTCTAGCCAGGGAAATTTATTTACAAATATATGCGTTTGTACTAAGAAGCAGACCAACTTCCCTCTGACAGCCCGACTACTAAATCTTGTCTCTGTAATCAAAATCCAGGTGTACTTTAACCACAGCGCCACCTGTGGGTCTCCTTTATTTCTGCATCCCTGGCCTGCAGGGGACTGAGGAGAAGAGTGCCCAGTAACCAGATAAAATTTATTTAAAATATGTCCAGCTGGGAAAAATGTACCTGGGAAAACGTAGGACATCATAGATGTACTCTGTTTTTATTATATATCCAATAAAATATTAAAATTTGAGTAGCACTATAGGTATGATTTAAATATAGGGGAATACACCATTTCTTTCTCCATAGACAGGGCTATCTGAAGAATCTATACATAAAGTAGACAGGGAGCGCATGGCAAGCTTCCACGAGGGAAGGGGGAAGAGGACCAGCACTGTGGTTAAAAGTAAGTGGTGCATTTTTTTTATCATATGTCTATGCAATATGTCATCTGGATGTAATCTCCAGATACATATTACATTTAAACATATTCAGCAGTTTCAGATTTGTCATTTAGGATCTGTTACAATTTAAAATATATAAAGTAACAAGACGTGCTACGGATAATCAACTATCACTGTTATTCTAGCTCTCTGACAGCTAAGAGCACAAGAATAGAGCAAACGCCAAGCTAAAACAAAGTCTAAGCTGTCTAATTATTTAAGGCTATAATGGCTGGAAGCTACCAAATTCAGGCTCTGGAAGAACCTTCAGGAGCTCTTCTTATTGGAAGAGATACTCTACCAAGAAACTGCGCCATAGGCACTACAATGTTTACTAGTCTTGCAACTGATAGTGATAAGAAAAATGGGAATTACCTCTTCTGAAGGAGCAGAGTTTTAAATGGCTTAATGACATTTTCCAAATACCATTATAATGTTCATATCTTTTTCTGAAATCTAATCTTCACTAATTTTTGTGATTAATTTTAACAGAGGGAACCTTAACTGAGAGCATTTTGCAGAGCAATATTTTTCTAATTTTTCTTTTGTGCAGCATCTGCTGTTGCTGTGCTGTCATCTTCGTTATGTTTTTCATTGTCTATGTGCCATAATGTAATTAGTTAGTTCAACATCATCTGTGCTATTAGATGAGATGTTTCTATGGTAAGTTAACGTAGTTCTGAGTAATTGGTAGATTTCAGCAGTAGGCACGAATGTATCCATCAACTTTAGGTGTATTTTAGTCCGCAAGATTCAAATTCACTTGGCATACTTCATCCTCAAAGACTGTTAATTTTGGCTGAATGGATAAAAAACACAATGCAGAAGAAAATCTGGCTGCTTATATTGTGGTACTGTTGGAGTCAGGGAGAGGAAAGCATAAAATTGCTGGCTTAGTAGAAAGTTGCAATCTGAAGGTCTGGAAAACGTTTCAGCTTGTGATCCAAATCATTCTTAAACCTCCACATGCCACTAAGATAGCTGATAGTCCAGAATTCACTGGGGTTCTCTCTCCATTCGTGAAAGGAGTCTTAGTTCTCTCCCCAAATACTGCATTCCTATGGGATCTCAACTGTCTTTTCCTTTTCTCGTTAGAAATGTTGAGGCTGCCACTGTGTTGGGAGAGCTTCCATGTTGCACTTTGCTAGTCTGTGTCTTCCAAACTCTACCTTTTGAACAACCATTTCAACTTTTAACGCAAACCCTCTAGTCTCTTTGGAAGCAGTGATGAAAAATCAACAGCCACTTGTTATTTTAAAATAACACACCCTTTTGCTAGCATAAGATCTTCTGTTTTAGGATCTTAAACAAATTACAAATGTGACTAAGTATTCAAGTGGGCTATCTAATGATATGGGAAAGTGCACATCCCCTGCAAGTTGTGAAGAATTCTGCATGGCTTGACTCTCAGCATTCTTTTTCAAACAGCAGACAGTACTTTTCACCCCAAACAGCAAGATAACTCACTTTTAGAAAAATATGTATAAATTTTGACTTGCTAGTAAACACATGAGTAACATTATTTACAAGAATCCAGTTCCATGGAAGGTAGTTAGGAAGGACAGTTTATTTAGGTAAGAGTTGGTAAGGCCCTTTTATCATCACTGTATCAATAATTTAGTACAGGGGCCAAATCATATAAATGTCAATAATTACAGATACATATTTATATTAACAATGGGGTCTACTTAAGGAAGAGCTAAAGCTATATTTGTAATGACCTCATATAGCTAAAACGTCTATTGGAAGCATTGATATATTACCGTTAGCCATGTGTAGCAGTCCCAAAAGTGAGTTCTGTGACTAAAGTCAGAGATAGCAGAGTTTGAAATTACATATAATTTATGTTTTAAATTAAAAGTCTCTAGAGGCTACTAGAATATGCATATTTAATAAAAAGTTCACAATATAAAACGATCTTGCAACTAGAAATGCTATATCAGTTTTGAAAGAGGGCTTTACATTCTGCAGAATCTAATGAAACAAGGCACTTTTTAAGCACATCAGCCAAAGCTATTTTGATATTCTTAAAAATATACTGACGACTGTTGTGATCATATATATCTGTAGAGATATTTTGTCACAAATATAAACATCGATAGACTATTTTTATGATTCAGATGTCACCATCTTTAAAAGGAAAAAAATTCTTAAACATACTTAAAAATGTAAATTCATGTGGAACGTACCTTTCAAAGTAGAAAAATATGTTATTTTCTTTACAGATAGTTTCATAGAACTTAGATTAAACGTTGCCTCTTTCACCAGTCACCATAATAAAATGGTCATAACAGAGGACAGGACAGCACAATTTTGTCCTGTGTAAAGACACAAAATATACATAAGTAGCAGCCTATGTACTACTTTATATTTACAGAACAAAAAAGATCAGTCCGTTGGGGATTTAAAAAATAAATAAAACTGACTAATTCAATTGACCAAAATGCGCTTACCTAATGCAGAAGTACACATTTATAATGCCATCACTGATGCTTCTGAACATAAATCATACTTTATAACAATGTGTTTTTGTTAAATCACTGCCACTTCTTTTCAGTCAGAATTCACTTCAAAAAAATTTGGCAGAGAAAGTAAACTTGTCTTTTTTTCCCTCTGAGATAAGAAATCACTGAAACATATTAAATATTTTCTACTCAGAGCTGACTGTTTTTTTTCTCGTAGCATTTTTTAAAATTTCATTTGTCAAACGAACATTTTTGGAACAAAATAGCTGCACTTTGGTATGATTTCTGAAAACAGTCCTATGCAGAAGTTTGTAAAAGCAATGTTCTGGAATAATTTGTTGCCATGGAAAATGAAAACTTAAGTTTAGCCTTTATTAATTAATTAACTAACTAAGAAAGTTTAACTATGCAGAAGAAATTAATATTATGCCTGAGGGAATAAACAGCTTGTTTAATATTTTTGATGCTGTCCACACACAATGCATTTAGAATTGCATTTAAAGTATTTTCAAAGACTTGTGTCCAGTAGCAAATCCTATGTCATGAGAATATCTGCACCTTATCTGTGCAGCCAGGAAATGAGTAACTCTATACTCTTACTGTAACTATAACCCATTGCCATGGAGGAGTACATGATATCCGTTTGAAGTTCTCACACCTTCTGAATGATGCTGTAATTTATAGAAAGAGTCCATGACTGATTTCTTTACCACCCATTTTGCACCTGTCCACAGAGAAGTCACTTGTGGTAATGGGCTTGAGCTATAGTAAACTTACGGAGGCACATTTGCTTCATTTGCTTGAGCCATTTTCGCCGTTGGTCTTCAAGTGAAGTCCACATCCTAGAGTCCCAAAGGATTTTGCTGTGCGATGCATTACCTGTGGGAAGCAGTAGTCTTAGCTAATATATCTAGATGTTTGCGGTGACTGCTTCTGGTACAGATTTCAACATTATCCGCTGTTTCAAAGAGTTGAGAGAAAGTAAAGTATGGAATAAGAACATATACAGTAAGGGAACTCCTGTTGAAGTTGTCTTTTTTAATTTAAAGGGGAGCAGAACAGTATGAGAAAATAGAGGGTTACAAAAATAAAGAGGAAGAGCAGCCTGGCTACTTGTGTCTGGCAGAAATGCCTCTATCGCATTTGATTTAACATTTACATAGATGCCAGTAGTTATGACACAACCGTCACTCTATGTTCACTTAACTGGACATGAAACAATAATGACAATCAGAATGACAGTTCTCCTTCTATTCTGCAGTTAGGTTCATCATATCTCCATTTTGCAACAATCCTTCTGTTCACTCTGATAGACAAATGTGCTTCTGTTATAATGATTTCTCTGTTTGACTCGGCGCAGCCTTGCTTTCAGGAAGGCTTGTGCAAGTTTCTAAGCTTTCTATTCATTTTTTTAGTTCTACCATTTATCAAAGCAAGGATTTCTTAGTAACAGTTTTTAACATTAACTCTTTAATAGTTACTGCACTGATGTAATGCATTTTTAAGAATGTTTTCTTGCATAAGAATATTATGTTATTTTTAAAACAAAAATATAGGCCTCTACTTTTCTTAAATTGTTTTTCAAGACTGGAGTGACTACTATACTCCATGGCAATAACTCTTTTTATCATTCTACTATAATTCAGTAGCTTTTGTTGTCTTATAAACAATCTTACAATTAAGAGCTAATGTTAATGGAATAGATTGTTGTCATAGTATAATGGTTTCCTGCTGCTAGATAAATGCTGTGGCAATGCTAGGACATTTATTGAAAGTAATAGCGAAGACAAAGCTAAGAGATTTATTTTTAAAGCAGGTGCCATGGATCCAGTGACACCATTCTGTTACAATTGTTTTATTTCTATTACACTAAAAGACTGATGAAGATGGCATCATTTTGCCTGATGTATGCTAGTGCAGCAAAGAGACAGTGGCTCATTTTGCTGTTATGGGATAAGCTGCATTACACTTGGCTCATGGAACAGATTTATTGTTTGGCTCATCCAATCAGAAAAGAGTTTATCCATTAACTACAGCTTTAAAATATGTTGTATTTCTATGAATAAGATGGGGCTTGATGCTTTCTTTCACACAACTAGTTGGGCAGAGTTTAGAGAAGAGAAGGAAAATGAGGCCCTACAGTGCCTGTTCCCCCTGTCCACCCAGATGCTCCTCTGTAGGGAGGGTGTAACTGTGCGTAGCATATTTCCCTCCTCCCGAATGCTACAGATACCACTGTGTGAGGTCCTTCAGTAGTTCCTTGTCTCCCTTGCCATTTTTCACAAGAGGATATTGCCTCAGCGTTAGCAGAACAGAAATGGCAGCACCATTCTTACCAGAATTTCCGTGCAGGGGATGGAGAGGAAAGGTTTTGACTAGTTTAGTGTTTCCTCTGTCCTTCAGTTCACAGGATCTTGAATTTTTGGTAATTATGCCCTCTTCCTTTTCCATGACTTTTAAAACTGCTCACTCCTGAACTCTCCAACAGAGAACTGTGAAAAACAAAGCTTGTAAAGTTTGCTAGGCACCCTTATCTCCTCTTGTGGCATTGCCATAAAGCACCTAGATTACCCCAGGTATCCAATCTCCTACATAATTGGAGTTGATTGTCAGGAAGCACGTGGAATCCATTAAGGTCAACAAGCTCCCCTGCACAGGTACGTCCCAATTACCTGTCTTAGGCCTCAACATATCATTTGCCTTTTCTTTTGAACTGTAGAGCACCTTCAGACACTTGCCTATTCCAGGTGTCGGAGCTGTAGCTATGCCAGTTTAAGGATAACCCATTAATTAAAAAAAAAAAAAAATATGGTCCCTTCCCACAAATGTTGACCATTCCAAAACATGTTTAAAGTAACATTGTAAAACAATATAATGAATTAATATGGCCATGAAGTCTCTGCTAAGATTTCCTTAAGAAACACACTAATTTTATTATTAAAGGCCAAGACCTTAATATCAAACCAGCAATTCACTGCTCCAAGGACTTAAACTCTGTAGCAGCTCACAGCACAGCTCTGAATTAACTTCTAAGGGCAGAACTTGAAAGCAGTAAACAACTTTTACCTGTTCTTGACCCCACACACATCTAACAAATAGGAGTTCAGTAAATGCATGAATTTCACTTAAACTCATGTGCAGGCATTCTAAAAACTCATTAACTCTTCAGTTTCTGAGTTTTTAAAAAAATCCTCACACTGATAAAACAGGCAAATACTACAGTACTTGTGCTGAAGAACTATCAGATAAGGATGTCCATCTTAGTGAGCCCATCTATTTATAAGAGGTGGGCACCAAAGAGAACATCATGGAGAAAAGTAGAAATGGGAGAGACCTGTAATCCAGACAGAATGAATCTTGGCACCTGTGAGGTCCAGGAGGTCCTCTGAAGAGCTCAGGGGCTACTAAGCTCCCGCAAATACATAGTCTTCCAACTAGATCTCCATAGCAGCAGAATATCAGACTTGGCTTTCTACATCTTGCGGTTTCCACTATCAGTCTCCTACCTGAAGTTTGGGATTCATAGGAAAGTTATGGGAGACAGGGAGAAATTCCAGATCTTTAAAACACTGGAGTTACTTATTTAAGTACCTTTAAGACTGGGACTGCAAGTATTATAAAGTCCTATGACTTTATCAGAATATTTGTTGTATCTGTTTAAAGTCCCAACTCTGGAATTGTGATTGTTATAGAAATCTGTTTTCAATTTTTTTAATAAGAATTTCAGTCTTCCTGGCTAGGTAAAAACATTAATTCTTAAGGATCAACTAGAAGCAAATAGAAAAAAACCTATCTTCCTGTGTTTAGTATTTTATTTGAAAGTTGACTCTTCATTTGATCTAATAAATAGTGAGGACTTGTGATTTCTGAATTTTTGGGATTGCCAGTACAGTAACCAAATGTCTTCACACCACATATTAAATCTGCTCAAGGAATCCTGCTCAATTCTAGGAATTATTCAATCTGTTTTGTCAATAGGCTTCTCCATATCACACAGGATTGCGCACAATCAATCAATATTTAGCTTCCATATCACATACTGCTCCCACAGAGGGCCAGAATTCCCCAAGTATTCTGTCTTAAAGCCAATCCTCAGTCTCTTGCAGCTCATTTGACTAAGGCAGCTAGGTATATCCTGGCTGGATCAGGCCCAGATGCTTTATTTCTATTACATGAGATGATTAATTATGTGGTTTCTTTCTGTTTGTCTGATAGATGCTGAGGTAAGAGAGTGACGGTTGCTTAGTGCACTATTATTAAAAAGCTGCTTTTGATAGCCCTGAACAGGCCTGAGTTGCGTGCTACAACTAATCATAAAGCTGCTTACTTGGAAATGTAATGCTTGTTAATACTATACTGTACTTTCTTAAGTAAACTCATTTTTGATTGGCTAGAGTTTAACTATAATCAGTAATTAAGGGTCAGCCATCCAGTAAACTCATTAGTTTACACCAATTACATTTGGTACATTTGTAACTAATGATTCCAAGGATCAAGCCATTTATTTCTAAGCTTTCAAAGTATAATTATTCTGTAAATCAGATAGAGTGTAAATCTTTTCCATACGTTTTGGTTGGTAATTGAAAAATAAAATGGTTTCCAAATGTATTCTCTGTCCAGTTTTTGTTCTGCAGTAGATCCCTCTAGGGACTCTTTAAAGTATATGGAAAAGGTGATGTCAACAGAAGTGTACGCTGGGCAAACGGAGACAGGATTAATTAATAGAGATGAAAGAGAAAAGCCAGCCCCTTGCAAATCATGGTCCAGGCCTCAGCTTGGACATCACACCTTAAATAACAGTTTAGAATCCTGAGCATGAGCCACATAGATTGACAAGTATTCAAAATAGAGGAGAATTAAAAATCCTTTATGTTTAATGTATAAAGGCCTTCCTAATATGCAGTCTTTAAGATGGTGTAATCTCTGGAGCATTTTGCTTTGAAGTTTAATATGTAGTTCCTCACATCCACATAACATTTTCAACACGTTAAACAAATTAGTCTCTGGTTACAGAAGTTTTTAGACATTTACAAGTTGCTGTTTAACTAAATTTAATATGTGCCAGCAAAGTTGTTCATGCACTTGTTCATTTAGAAGAATGCACTTCTGGAATGATTAATAAATAAAGCAGCCTTTCCTATGCCTTCAACTTTGGTGTTTATTTGAAAGCAATCTACTTTAAAAAGACATTAATATCTCTAGAATTATTATTAGAATAATTGCTTTCACTCTTCTTGGAACACACATTTTTTCTCATTTCCCTTCAGCACAGACAGCTTTCCACTTAGATATAAACTTCCTATTATTACTCCCCACTCTCCACCCCAAAAATGAAGAATAGGAATTATACACTTTTCACTAAGGAATAATTAATTTGTCCCAAGTATTAGAACAGAGAATTGTAGAATGACTTTGAATGGTAGTCTCTAAGGAGTAGCATTGTTTGTTCTCTTCGGTCTTTAATGAGCTTTAGTAAATGGCCAGGAAAAATTACCTTCTTTCTGTAATATGAGAGAAGCGAAGAATGAAGGAAGCTATAGAATCCCTAGGAGAAAAGGGAGCAGCCAAACACACACACACACACAGACACACACAGCCCCCTGCACCACATCACTTGTAATAGTTAGTGTTTTCCTTTGGAACTGAGCACTAGAGCTCCATTTTTTCCATTACAGCTAAAACTTAAAATGTCCCTAGTATTTTTGTAGGAAAGAAAATTCCTGGATGTCTCCCACATACTGACAGAGTCTGGCTTATGTTGGGGGACAACTGCCTATAGCTGAGCTCTGGAAGTCATTCTGGCTTCCTCTGCTTTGGCATTGATTTTGTCTTTTAAGATTCTTTAGTTTATTTTTGTTGTATTTCCACCTTTAAAAGCAATTTCCCTTATAGTCCCCTAGTCTGCTGCCCTGTCTCTTAATTAAAAATCTTCTCCCCCACCCTCCTGGCTGGATCAGGCCCAGATGCTTTATTTCTATTACATGAGATGATTAATTATGTGGTTTCTTTCTGTTTGTCTGATAGATGCTGAGGTAAGAGAGTGACGGTTGCTTAGTGCACTATTATTAAAAAGCTGCTTTTGATAGCCCTGAACAGGCCTGAGTTGCGTGCTACAACTAATCATAAAGCTGCTTACTTGGAAATGTAATGCTTGTTAATACTATACTGTACTTTCTTAAGTAAACTCATTTTTGATTGGCTAGAGTTTAACTATAATCAGTAATTAAGGGTCAGCCATCCAGTAAACTCATTAGTTTACACCAATTACATTTGGTACATTTGTAACTAATGATTCCAAGGATCAAGCCATTTATTTCTAAGCTTTCAAAGTATAATTATTCTGTAAATCAGATAGAGTGTAAATCTTTTCCATACGTTTTGGTTGGTAATTGAAAAATAAAATGGTTTCCAAATGTATTCTCTGTCCAGTTTTTGTTCTGCAGTAGATCCCTCTAGGGACTCTTTAAAGTATATGGAAAAGGTGATGTCAACAGAAGTGTACGCTGGGCAAACGGAGACAGGATTAATTAATAGAGATGAAAGAGAAAAGCCAGCCCCTTGCAAATCATGGTCCAGGCCTCAGCTTGGACATCACACCTTAAATAACAGTTTAGAATCCTGAGCATGAGCCACATAGATTGACAAGTATTCAAAATAGAGGAGAATTAAAAATCCTTTATGTTTAATGTATAAAGGCCTTCCTAATATGCAGTCTTTAAGATGGTGTAATCTCTGGAGCATTTTGCTTTGAAGTTTAATATGTAGTTCCTCACATCCACATAACATTTTCAACACGTTAAACAAATTAGTCTCTGGTTACAGAAGTTTTTAGACATTTACAAGTTGCTGTTTAACTAAATTTAATATGTGCCAGCAAAGTTGTTCATGCACTTGTTCATTTAGAAGAATGCACTTCTGGAATGATTAATAAATAAAGCAGCCTTTCCTATGCCTTCAACTTTGGTGTTTATTTGAAAGCAATCTACTTTAAAAAGACATTAATATCTCTAGAATTATTATTAGAATAATTGCTTTCACTCTTCTTGGAACACACATTTTTTCTCATTTCCCTTCAGCACAGACAGCTTTCCACTTAGATATAAACTTCCTATTATTACTCCCCACTCTCCACCCCAAAAATGAAGAATAGGAATTATACACTTTTCACTAAGGAATAATTAATTTGTCCCAAGTATTAGAACAGAGAATTGTAGAATGACTTTGAATGGTAGTCTCTAAGGAGTAGCATTGTTTGTTCTCTTCGGTCTTTAATGAGCTTTAGTAAATGGCCAGGAAAAATTACCTTCTTTCTGTAATATGAGAGAAGCGAAGAATGAAGGAAGCTATAGAATCCCTAGGAGAAAAGGGAGCAGCCAAACACACACACACACACAGACACACACAGCCCCCTGCACCACATCACTTGTAATAGTTAGTGTTTTCCTTTGGAACTGAGCACTAGAGCTCCATTTTTTCCATTACAGCTAAAACTTAAAATGTCCCTAGTATTTTTGTAGGAAAGAAAATTCCTGGATGTCTCCCACATACTGACAGAGTCTGGCTTATGTTGGGGGACAACTGCCTATAGCTGAGCTCTGGAAGTCATTCTGGCTTCCTCTGCTTTGGCATTGATTTTGTCTTTTAAGATTCTTTAGTTTATTTTTGTTGTATTTCCACCTTTAAAAGCAATTTCCCTTATAGTCCCCTAGTCTGCTGCCCTGTCTCTTAATTAAAAGTCTTCTCCCCCACCCCCCCACCCCCTTTTTATTGTCCCAATTTCCCTTATAGTCCCCTAGTCTGCTGCCCTGTCTCTTAATTAAAAGTCTTCTCCCCCACCCCCCCACCCCATTTTTATTGTCACTGCTGTCCAGAATGGTAACTGAGGTAGCAGAGGCAGGTGCTCGCTTCAGCTAAGGATACAGACCTGTCACCGTGGATAATGCAGTATGTTCAGAAACACCTTTTTCTTCCCTTCTCTCCAGCCTCCATAGATTCCACCTATTCCCGTAACTTGCCAGTGGCAGTTGCCATTGCTCCTTTGAGGTGTGAGGGAAGCTGGCCCACAGCAGCCAAGTGAGAGCAGCACAGTCTGAAAGGATCTTGTGGAACAGGGGCTCTCTCCAATCCATCCTGTTGGAGCAGTTCCAGTTTGTATGGAATAATTAAATATTAACTGGATTGCCATGTGTGCTTGCTCTCAGAGCACAACTGAGAGCAAGAAACCTGGGTTCTGTTACTTCCTTCCAGTGAATGCTTCCATATTTTGTATTAAGTATTTATTGGAGCAGGGCCTGACAGACATGTTTTCCCCACCCAGGTGAGCGTCTCCACTACTAGGCCAACGGCAAGCTTTCCGACTCAATGAAAGGACTTGGTGTACACTCCTCGCAGAGCGGTTAGTAAACTCTTGGGTAGCGTGCTAACCCAGAGGGCAAGAGATTCAAATTCAAATCCTGTCAGGCAGAGGCCTGAACTGAATACAAGTTTCCCATATCTTGGTTAAATTGCACCAGCCAGTAGGTTGAATCTCAAAAGCCTAGTACAAAAAAAAAGGGCACAGGAGGAAGGGAGAGAGACTTGCATAAGGCAGCAGCACTATCTGTCATTATTCTGTGAGAAAGACCTGGTGCAGGTGTCCGGTTCCTAGATAGGCAAAGCAAGCACGGTAGGTAAGGCACACCTCCGCCCGATCGTGGCTCTGGACCATGGGAGGTGCTCTCATGGCTGACATCAGATTGCTGACTAGACTTCAGGGTCATGAGAGACGCAAAGAGAGATGATGCAAGTGGGAAGAGCTGCCTGGACCTATTCCAGATGTTTAGCGAGAAGTAAAAAACTGCTGCCAAAGGAAAAAAAAACCACATTTTTCTCTACCATGGGTCCTCTTCAGTGCAACTGTTAGAGAAGAATAAATGGAGAAAGATGTTTGAAGGACAGACAGGAGACAGTGAGGACAGGACTAATAAGTAAGGAAGAAACACTGGAAAGTCGACAGAAAGAAAGGAACGTAAGAAACCAACAGGAGGACTGGACAAAGAAAAAGGAAAAATCCTGACTGACCGAATCACTTTGCCTCTCATTGCCTCAGTCTTCTGGCAGTAAAATAATTACAGTAAAGACAAGCACAGAGCATTTCAGTGACTTTCAAGACCATAAATATTAAGGAGGCATTTGAATGTCCTGTTGATTAGGATTATGTTAAAAAGAAAGCAGCAAAATTTAAAGAATGTTTTGAAAAGAATGAAACATTGTTATCAGGAGGAAAAAAAGGAACAGGACTTAGTGCTTCATTTCATATGTGTAACTCACAAATCTAAGTATTAACCACACCCATACATACTTAAGCTTTTTTAAAATAGAAAAGATTGGACCTGTTTCAGACCACATGAACACATGCTTTAAAGCATGCAGACGCTCTTTTCTTCAGTAACAGCCTACTACTATGACTCCTATAATTTATTCCTCCCAAGATTCATTTGAACATCTGCAGTATCATTATTTGAGTTTGTTATACTATTAGCTTTAAAATTTTATAAGCCATACAGTAGGATAGGTGACAAGTTGAAAAGTTAAGGAGGGTTAATTTAGAAGTTTTAAAGCAAAGCTATTTTTGAGTTATACAAGTGCAGAAAAGCATCTGAATCCAAACCTCCATGGTTACATTTAAATAACTCAGAAACTGCTGAAAGGATTTTCTTCAAACTCAACTCAAGACAAATCCCTCTGGGCTAAGACCAAGCATGAGAACTTAACTCAAAAGGTGATTGTTGTCAGGAGAGAGTTTTCCTTTCCTCCCCCTTTTTTTCTTTTGCTTGCTTCATTTTCAATGTTCTAAAGAAAATAATAGTACTGAAAAATAAGGTTCTGGGGCATAGAGGTGTCACACCCGTTTTATCATTATAATAAGGCAAATGCTGTTTGTAAACTACCTTTTTATTATAAACAGCCCCCTGCTTTGCCTTTGGTCTTTACCAATAATCTTAGCACCCACCTCTAGCAGCATTCAATAATGCTGTAACTGCGTGGCACAGTAGAGAAGTACTGAGCCATACTCTCAGTCCCATCAGCAGCTTCCTCGCATGCCTCAGCAGTTCAGTGCAGCTATAATACTACCCTAAATGGACAGCTGAGGATTCCCCTTAACAAGAAGTCTTCAGAGAGCAATCAGCAGCTCTGCAGCACTCTTTTCCTTCACTTCCCATCCTTAGTTCACCTGAGGTGAAACATACACTACACCTGTAGGGTGACCTAAACTATGTTTTGATTTCTCAGCAGCCCAGGATTTGGAAAGCAGAAAGGTAGCTTATAGTCATGCTTCTCACAGCTCACTGACTGCAAGCTCAGTGCACCTGGGAATCTCGGTCGTTCTTCCTCATTACAGATTAGACCAAGGGACTCACCTCCTAGTGATGAAGCTGCAGCAACTCCTGTAAAGGAAAAACCTGAACAACGAAGGTGGAAATTTCTGTTTTCTTTCTCAAAGCCCTTAAAGCCGGTCCTTTTTAGGTGTTCTTTAATAGCAGTATCATGTGTCCTGGTAGCCTGGTTATGGCTGGACTTTAAAAAAAAAGAGAAAGTAGAATTTTTTTCTGTTCATTTCAACTCTCTCCCACATGTCGTTTTCTACAAATTGTCCCAGGGCAGAGAAAAGTCTTTCCCTCCCCCCTTCTATCCAGGCTTCTCTCTGATTCTCTGGCAGCACCTCCCACAGTTACTCATTCATTTGTTTGTTTGTTTTTCCATTTGCAACTTTTGCCCCCTCCAAAGAGCTGGCTTGCCCAGCGAAATTACAGTAACTTATTTCATTTCAAATGCATTCAGAAAGGCATTTGAGTTGTTCCTTTTCATTTAGAGCTGCATCCAAATTTGGAACTAGTGAAACATTGAGGGGGAGAGTTCGAAATATATTTACTGGACTAATTCACCATCTTTAACCCATGCAACTAAGATTCTTGCGGTAACAGCTTCCCTTGTCTATCCCCTGTACACAAGACCTGTATCAAAAGCTGCTCTGGGCAAGGGTCAGCTATTGTTTGTGGCCCTAACACAATGTGGCTTGCAAGCTGTGACAGTACAGTAACACCTGAGGATTTGTTTCATGAGACCCTGACTTTGGAAGCAAAAATACATGTTTCCTGATGACTGCTAACACTGAATAGTGGGACGAATAGCTGAAACTATCCGAAATGGAAATAAGTGTGCAGCCATCAGGAATGTGAAGTCTTGGGCTTGACTCTTATTTCTTCTAACTTCTGGGATGTCCACTCTAGCAAAAACAGAGAGACCTTAAAGTTGGTATCAAGATGTGGTAGCCTACTGCAGGCTTAGCAGCTTCTGGAAGCTCACTGCTATACCACCCTGTGGGAACAGTTAAAGTCTGGCAAACCTTGGAAAAATGAAGCAAATTTAAAAATGTATTACAATATTTAAATAATCAGAAAGCATTTCCATTCATAAATGTCCTCCTATCTGTTCTTCACCACCAAACTTCTGCAGTATCACCTTTCAGTCAGCACTTGTCATTCAGCACTTTAAGCTGTGTCTGCAATATATTATCTCATTCATACAGCTTCTTCACTGCAGATCAACAGTGTCTGACTAGGTTTAGATTAAAACTTAACACATCATCCATCTGGAAAACCCCAAATCCAAACACATGTAAAAGTTGCAAATACAAACAGTGCAGTTTCATGGACGATGTTTTACAAAAGTGTACCACAAAAAGAAGCGTAGCAGGAAAAAGAGGAATGCACGGTAGTGGTCACAGAAGAGAATGCCATTTTTCAGTTGAGATTTTATATAAGAGTGAGAAGGAACATGGCAAAGAGAAGAGAGGGCTGTCCCCTCAGTGCTAGTGCTGCAGAAAAGATTTTTCCATCAGTCACGATAAAATTAGGCAGAGAATAAGTAGATCTGAATATTGTATAGGAAAATATGAAATCGGAGTTCAGAACAGTTCAAGGATGGCAAGGTATAACGAAGGCAATGCAAACTAAGAGCTGGAACCGAAAGAGATGAACTAAAGGAATCTGATACGAAGACACAAGTTTAATTAACCAAAACAGGCAGAGCAAGACGAACAGAGAAGACTCATTTAAGATGTCAAAAGATGCTTTTTTGTTATGGCCACTAAGGTAAAAATTAAGACAAGATAAAAAACATGGAAGTTGAGGGTGTCAGATTGGGTTTAAGGACGGGAGTCCTGAGAAAATCTGGGGCTGCAGACAAGCTCTTCTAGGAGATGACAACACTGTCTCTAGCGTTTGTTGCTGCCTTCCAAGTACCCCACGCCCTGCTGTCTTAGCGAGAAGGATCACAAATGGCGTCCTAATCTGTTTCAAGCTAAGTCAGCCAGATTTATTTCACCTGGTGATGAACATGGATATGAGCTAACCTACTTGGCTTTGCTTGTAATGCATTAGGGAATGCGTACTTGGCCTCTTCTGATGGCAGAGCAATGGGGAGGGACCAGGGGTAAGCAGCAAAACGTGGCATAATCTTCACCTGGTAGACGGCAGCTAGGCACCAAGAAGGAAATTTGTTTGGCCTAGGAGAATGCATGAACATATAAAACTGGAACCAATCCAGACATGTGGAAGGATGCAAATGTCTTAAGGCTGAACAGAACTCAAGGAAAAATCATCAGCAATACAGAGTTCAAAAAGCGTCAGCTAAGAGATTTCTTTATATCTCACCACTATGAGTAAGGAACACTTAATAGCTTTTGTTACTGGTGCAAAGATAATCTCTGCAGAGATGTTTGTATGCGATCGTGAAAAATAACAGCTACTGGTAAGTAACTAATAGGAACCACAGTACAAGGGCCATGTGGATTTTACTGTTTCTGGGCCAACAGAAAACTGTAATCTATGCTACTTAAGCTTCTTACACTCAGGATTTGCAAATGCCAAGAGAGTAATCAAAATTTTTACCAATGTAAAAGTGAGAAAGTTGAAGAGCAACTGCATATAAGGTATCACTACGCCAGTATACAGTGTCTTTCACCACAGGGTAACAGCTTAATACCCACGTTCCAGCTTAATACCCACCATCCTTCAGGGACTTGCATCAAATGAATTGATGCTGCTGGAAGCGTGTCAAAAACTGAGCCTGCATACAGTTAATTTGTCACCCACAGTGGTTCAGTCTTCCAAACTAGGTAGATCATAGGAAGTTTGCTCTGCTCCAGTTATTGCAATAACAGTCAAAGAGGAGGGCCTACAGTTCTAAAATCTTTGCAGCTACTTTTATATCTATCTTCTAATTTACCATAAGGCTTTTAATATCTGACTCAGCAGGCCTTACACTGTTTAATTCTCCACCATCTATCTCCTTTTTGGAGGTACCTGTCATTCATACTTCTGCAGAGTCCAACTTAAACCAGTAGTGCCCTGTTCATGTTACTGGCACTTTGCATTGCAAATATTAAGGAGTAAAATTTGCAATCCAAGTTATTCATAGAATGTTCTTATACAGTGCATAATTTGCCAACAGCTAAATTAAACTTGCTTCACAATGTGAGGCTGTGTACAAGTGGTTTCTGACACACAAGGCTTCAGTGAAATCAATGGTATAGGCATCATATTAACTCAGACTCGGATTTTCAGGTCCATGAAGCTTAGAGTCATGCGCTTTCTGATTTAGAGGAACTCAAATATAAGCAAGAATCTCAGCTCTCCTTTTTAAACAGTGCGAAGTTTCAATCCAATTTAACCTTGAATAGATGAAAACATAAATCAGTAGCTGGTCTTCACTGCCCATACTAATTTAATGAGCTGGGGATTTGATCACATATGTATATACACTCTGGGAACCTGAAGACCTTTTCCTCCATGCCATATTCAGTTTGGATGTATGCCAAAGAACTATTCTACAAGTTAAAGGGATGAGGGTAAAGGCAGATTCGCCCACTAGATAGTGCCAGGGTCTAGAACAAGGTCATAAGCCACAGATTCGGAGTCAGACTCCATCCATATGTTCCAAGTGATGATCAGTCAACTCACAAATACCCATGCTGCCGTAAGCAGCACCACAGCAGGTAGTCTGACGCTGGGACTATGTCTGGGTAGCCACTGCTTAGCTGGAAGGACTTTTTCCACCCTTTCCCTCAGTTAGGAGAGACTTTGGTCCAAACAGATGATTTCCTGAAGAGAGCGCCAAGTGAGGGGGTTACAAAAAAGCTTCCACAGACCTACCTTTGTGTCATTGCATGGTGTCTAACAAAAGTAAAAAAACTTTGAAGTTTTGTCTAGTAGGTCTTCAAAGAAGGTGTGTAATGACAAGTCTGTCAAAATGTGAAATGAAGCTGGTAATAAAGATAGATGCTAAATATTCATGCACAACTACCAGGTGTGCTTTGGCACAATTCACACTGCATGACTTTTGCTGACCTGACAGGACTGTGACCTGAAATGCAGACTCCAAACCAGCAGTGTCTCCTCAGCTTCTGTCTTCTCTTTGCCTTGTCCCAAATATTATTGACCTGGAGGAATGAAGTCTTGTACTTACCAAGTTTTCAGACCTCATGTGCCTGCAGACTGAGTCCATTCATAAACAGCTCCCTTCCGTTGCCACTAGGCCAAACCAAGTTCTCTTCATACACTTGGCCAGGCAACAGCACACTGGATTGCAAGTGGTTGTTTCAGTTCTATGAAGTACTGAAAACAGGCAGACTTCTTCAGTCAGATGTTCTGTAAGCAGGTGACCTCAGCACTGTGACTACCATTGCCAGGTGTCTTTGGGCTTCACAGAGGAGGCTGAGGGAAAGGTGGGAAAAAGCAGAATAAAGCTAGTGAACAGAGGCAGGGGGCATAGAAAAAGAGAAAATCCTGATGGAACATTATCTCATCACTTACTGCACAAAAGCAGAGATTGCAGAACACCTTATTCAAACAGCACTACTGGTCACCTCTGCTTAGATTCCTCCCTCATCTATGACCTGGAGAATTAAATCTAGGCCAGATTTTGCTTAGATGCCAAGGAAAAAGGAAGTTATACTAACTATCTCTGTGAGTTTGAACAACAGAACTACTAACAATCTTTACACTTGGAATTTATTTTAAAAGTATGTTTAGCTTAGCTCATCAGGTCAAGCTCATTAAAAAAATCAAGAATAAGAAGTCCTATGATGTGAGAACAAGTAACACTGAGACTGAAAAGCCAGCACATCCCCAGCCTGTGGGATGGAAAGGCCATCTGCTATCAACATTTAGGAAATGTACTTTGGGTGGAAAGCTTTCTTGCAACCTCAGGCTTTGTTACAGTAACTTAGCTTAGCTTAGCTCTTGAGCTCTTATTCTATCTGGAACTCCAGTTCAGCACGTCTCAGTTCTAGGCCTGGCAGAGGGCTGTGGCCTATCATCTTGCAAAACAGGGCAGTCCTCTACACCGGCGTCTGTCAGTGGAGTCATGCTGAAATCAAAAGAACTTTGCACAGGTGCAGGAATCCTGCAGTCAGGTCCCAGATCCTAGCACATACAAAGCCTTTCCAGGAAACACACACACAGATTTTCTTCCTAGAAGAAAAGGCAGAAGAAGCAATGTGATTATGTTACCTCTCTCTCTCTCTTTAAAGGAAAGCTCTACGGAAGCGTCACTTATTTTTCCAGATTTTTATTATGCAAAGTGACCCAACAGTGCAAGTATCCCCTTCGTTCCGCTGGCATATGG